TCATTATAACCGTCATTAATCCATTTGTCAGTGAAACCAGTTTCCATAAATCTATGCAGATGACGTTCAAATTCAGGAGCATACGGAGAATTTTCTACCAAAGTAATAACATTAATATCGAACGATCCTCTAAATAAGTAAAAAGTTTTAATAGTTTGAACCCTATTTATTTTCAAATCCATTAACAGCACTTTTTTAGCCAATTTTGCATTCACATTGCAGCATACTGCTTTATTCTTCAAAAGTTCTTTAATACAATCTTCCACGGATTCATATTTACCTGATCCGATTTCAAATGGAAGGGTCGTGTTTATTCCAGTAATGTCTAATCCATAAACTGAATTCAATTCAAATCCCCATTTTTTATTGTAATCTTCAGGTTTTAAAATATCTTCATAAGTTGTATTTATTTGGATGGATGTTAAGACAGACAGCAATGTTGATGAAAGTATCAAAAAACCGAAAAGAATTGATATTAAACAAATTCTATTCGAGAGTCGTTTCACATTTACAGGAATTGTTATTCCCAGTAATGCCAGTATAAGATGCCAGAAATTCCAAATTCGACTGTTAAACTTGAAGAACCGAAGAAATTTCCAAATTAGAATCAAAGAGAAAATGATTAAAGTTCCTTGGTATATAAAATTCGAAATCAAAAAGTTTTTGAGTTTTCGTTTGGGTAGCAAATATACAGAATCATTTGGTCGAAACACATAAACTAAATTTTCTAAAATTTCAGGTTTATGAAAACTGTAAACAACATCTCTAGTTAGTTGACAGTTGTTATGTTCTGAAAACTTAGTTATAATATAAGAACAGGAAGCAAATGGTGCAGTGTTACGAGTTGTATTTTTCAAGCTGCTTTTGAAACATTCGTTAGTTGGAACTTGTAAATCTTTAAAATTCATTACTTCAGAAAAAATTTTAAATTTTTCATCCTCAAAGCTATAGGGGTTATTTACAGGCATGCATCTTCTTAATTCAAAACCATTCAGATTTTTTAGTTTTTGTGGAAAAACAATATCTCCCTTACGATAATTAAATCTTGTGTAATTTCCAGTAAAATTATTGAAGTAATGAATTATAATGTTCCTATGGTTTTGATTAATCATGAAATTGCGTTTCAAATTTTCATTTATTTCAACATCAAGAATTGTAAATTGAATAAAATTTCTTGACCATGCTGATCGAAGCAGAGCTTCAAAATTGTCATTTCTTTTATTCGTTAATATTATCATCAAGCACTTAGGAAAGGTGAATGAACCTGATATCTTTTTCATGAAATCGAAGGATGTTTCTATTACTGTTCCATTATTTTTAAGAATAATTATAAAAAGAGTACCTTTATGAAAACTCATCGAAGCAATAGATTTAAGTTTGTTTGGATCACGTTCAATGAAGTTTATCACTCGACTTGGACTATTACTTAATGTAGCTTGTAGAATTTCATTTAGTACATCCGTGCTTTGATGTTTTCCGTCATGCATTATTATTGTTTGATACGCTTCAATTTCCTTTTTTCTTATTTGTTGAATAATATCCTTAAAAGATACGGAATCCGCATAAATTATTTGCAACACTCCAAAAATTAAAACACTTATTTTTTTAAAGTTTAATTTGTATTTAATCATTTTGATATTTATTTAAAACTTGCAAGTGATTGTTTCGGCTGCGACGATCTGTAGAATACTAACATTTTGGTTTTTTTTTTCAAAATAAACCCTTATTGGCTCTTCCCTTTAATTGTGTAGTAAATAATTTTTTTCCCTTATATTGTATCATTCGATTGCTCGTCAATCAATTTTATTTTGTTTTAATAAAATGTGGAACAATAAAATTAATATAATACAATTTAGATATGAATTGATCCATAAAAATTAGGGTTGTCTATGACACATTTTTACACGATTAATTCTGAACTGCATTCTCGATTCCGAATAACTAAAATTTCATTCCATTTTTCTTTTCATTTTAATAGATTAAGCAATATGACAAAAGCCATTATAAGGAAAGTTCAAATTTTTTTTGGTAACAAATTTTTTTTTTTAAAGAGTTATGGAAACTTGAAGTGGTTAGTATAATAGCCCCGTGGTTGGGCTATTAGCAAAGTTTATATAAAATTGGTATAAAAAGAAATTCTGTCAAATGCTAATTCGAAAAATAAGAATTCGTCTTAAAAAATAATTATATCTAATAAAATTCTTTAAAATTTAACGAGCAAATTTTATTTGAGTTAATAAAATTTAAAGATATTAAAATAATTTTTTAAACAAAATATTATATGACTTTTTAATATACAATAATAGTAAACAATTAAACAAAAATTTATTATATTATAATTTAATTTTTCTTTTTATTTAATGATAGAAAAATAGATTCACCCCCTATTACAAATAATATCAAATGTAATAGGACACCCTATTCCATTTGATATTATAGGGTATAACATAAACGAGCTAATAGTGCGAGACGACCCTTTCATACAAAACTAGAAACTGAAATCACGCAACTCTGATAAAATTACTACGAATGTCACCAAAATAAAATTTGAACTATCCTTTTGGATCAATTCATATCTAAATTGTATTATATTAATTTTATTGTTCCACATTTTATTAAAACAAAATAAAATTGATTGACGAGCAATCGAATAATACAATAAATGCATAAGGGAAAAAAATTATTTACTACACTATTGAAGGGAAGAGCCAATAAGGGACTATTTTGAAAAAAAAAAACCTAAATGTTAGTATTCTACAGATCGTCGCAGCCGAACAATCACTTGCAAGTTTTAAATAAATATCAAAATGATTAAATACAAATTAAACTTTAAAAAAATAAGTGTTTTAATTTTTGGAGTGTTGCAAATAATTTATGCGGATTCCGTATCTTTTAAGGATATTATTCAACAAATAAGAAAAAAGGAAATTGAAGCGTATCAAACAATAATAATGCATGACGGAAAACATCAAAGCACGGATGTACTAAATGAAATTCTACAAGCTACATTAAGTAATAGTCCAAGTCGAGTGATAAACTTCATTGAACATGATCCAAACAAACTTAAATCTATTGCTTCGATGAGTTTTCATAAAGGTACTCTTTTTATAATTATTCTTAAAAATAATGCAACAGTAATAGAAACATCCATCGATTTCATGAAAAAGATATCAGGTTCATACATCTTTCCTAAATGCTTGATGATAATATTAACGAATAAAAGAAATGACAATTTTGAAGCTCTGCTTCGATCAGCATGGTCAAGGAATTTTATTCAATTTACAATTCTTGATGTTGAAATAAATGAAAATTTGAAACGCAATTTCATGATTAATCAAAATCAAAGGAACATTATAATTCATTACTTCAATAATTTTACTGGAAATTACACAAGATTTAATTATCGTAAGGGAGATGTTGTTTTTCCACAAAAACTAAAAAATATGAATGGTTTTGAATTAAGAAGATGCGTGGGTGTAAATTACCACTATAACTTTAAGGATGAAAAATTTAAAATTTTTTCTGAAATAATGAATTTTAAAGACTTACATGTTCCAGCTTACGAATGTGATAATAGTAATTTGAATAATACAATTCATAAAACATTTGCTTCCTGTGATACTATTATATCCAAGTTTTCCGAACGTAACAACTGCCAATTAACTAAAGAGCATCTTTACTTTATAATCAATAAACGTAAAATTTTAGAAAATCTAATTTATGTGTTTCGATCAAAAAATATTGTAACATTGTTACCCAAACGAAAGCTCAAAAACTTTTTGATTACGAATTCTATATACCAAGGAACTTTAATCATTTTCTTTTTGATTCTAATTTGGAAATTTCTTCTGTTCTTCAAATTAAACAGACGAATTTGGAAATTCTGCTATCTTATACAGGCATTACTAGGAATATCAATTTCTGTAAATATGAAACGATTCTCGAATAGAATTTGTTTGATATCGATTCTTTTCGGTTTTTTGCTACTATCATCAGCATTGCAATCTATTATAACATTCGTCCAAATAGACACAACTTATGAAGATATTTTAAAACCTGAAGATTTTAATAAAAAATGGAGACTTAAATTTAATTCATTTTATGGAGACAAAATTGTAGGAATAAACACAACTCTTCCATTTGAAAAGGCAACAGGTAACTATGAATCCATGGAAGGTTGTATTAATGAACTTTTGAGGAATAAAGCAGTAAGCTGCAATGTGGAAGCAAGATTTGTTAAACAAGTGCTGCTAATGGATATCCAAATAAATAGGGTTCAATCTATTAAGACTTTAGACATTTATGGAACATCATTTAATATTGATTCGATTTTTTTGAAAGAAAATTTTCCATTTGCTTCTGAATTTGAGCGTCATATGAATAGATTTATTGAAACTGGTTTGACTACCAAATGGATTAATTACTCTTATGAGGTCATTAAAAACCACCAGATGAAGGATGATATAGTGATCTCGAGTGAACAAAAAATTGACAATGATTTGATAATATTGCCATTTATATTTCTTGGAATTGGTTTGGGAATTTCATTTATTGTATTTCTTGGAGAGCAATTCGATAACCAAATTGAGAGGTAAAGCTTTAGTAATTTTTATCCTATTTTGATATTAGCATTATTATTATTATTATCTTTTAAAAGTAAATCATCAGGAGGATAAATTTTGGAAATGTTTAATTTTTTTCAGAGTTTAGAGTTCAATTATTCTGTGATCGTCATAGTTTCCATAACTGCCAAACACGGATTGAAAAATTATATAAAACATTCGTACAAGTTCTCGCCAAAGAATGTAAGAAATTTCTTTTTTTTTTTTAACAATTTTTAAATAACTGAATTTTTATTTAATTCAATTTTTCATTTAATAAAATTTTAATAAATTAATATTCGCATGCATCATTTTTTCTATTGATTATATAATAATCTATAATTAAGCAGAAGTTTTCCCATTTAATTTTTTGTGCGAAAATAATATCAGTAATACTAATTTTCAATGAACAGACGTTTTTATTTCAAAAATTGATATTCTCATGTATATTATACATATATACAGTTAGGTATTTATATATTAAATTAAGTAAGTAATGAAAGAAAAAAATGGTAAACAGCCACACTGCTTTTTTTTCCTATTAATTTGACACTGTTAAACCTGCATCTTTTGCCATATTATAGAATAAACTATCTCGCTTTTGAAGAAGATTAATAGGCGAATCAAATTCCACAATTGTACCCCTATCTAAAACTATCACCCTAGGAAAAGGAAAAAAGTAGTTTTTTTATTATTTTTTTTTTCGAAAATGTTTTTTTTTTTTAAGAGTCACTCCATTATATTTCATTCTAAATGCGTTGAGGATTTTTATTTAAAAATATAGAAGTAATTTAACACTTTAATCAGTTTTAAATTCATTATTAAAATAGGTATAAACATTATTTTCTCCCCAATAGATATTTTAATTATTTTAATAAATAAATAATATCATTTTATTATATTATCTATATTTTTTCAATATAAATAATTTAATAAAATTACATCTTTTTTTTTGGATGAAATATAATGGAATGATGGATAAGAAAAGTTTTTTTTTCTTTTAATTTTAAAAATAAATAAAAAATTATCTCAGTTTACCTGTCTGAATCAAGAATAGTATTAAGCCTGTGAGCGATCGTAAGAACGGTACATTCTTTAAATTCCTCTCTGATTGTCCTTTGTATGAGGTCATCAGTTTCTAAATCAACGGCAGCTGTGGCTTCATCTAAAATAAGTACTTTAGTTTTTCGCAATAAGGCTCGCGCTAAGCAAATTAATTGCCTTTGTCCCACACTGAGATTATCACCACCCTCTGAAACTTCGTGCATCAAGCCACTTTGTAATCCTGCAAATAAAATATTTATCATGTAGAGATTATTTTTTTTTCAAAATTAAAAAAATTTTTTAGACTCTTTTTTTATAAATAAACAAATTTTTTTTTTTTGACTACAATTACCCCGGTTGACTAATTTTTTATGTAAATAGAATTTATTTCTTTAAAAAATCTTTTTTAAAACTTATATAAATATTTATAAGTAAAATTTCGAATTTAAATTCGATTTATGAACAAAAATACCCTTAAGATTCTATTTTATGAAAAAATTAACTAGAGAATATAACGTAACAAAAATTCTGTCAAAAATAAAATTACGTAAAAATTTTACATAGAAACTTAAATATAGAAATTCTTGTAAAAACAATAATTAGGAGCTTTTCAAAAGTCGATAAATACATTTTTCGAAAAATTTGAGAAAAAAGCATAAAACCAAGATGATTTATAATTTTAATTTTTTTTTCTAGAAAAAATTACCAAAAAAAAATTCTCCAATTAACTAAAAGTAAATTTTACACATTATTCATTCGTCCTCTATAATAAAATTAATACATAGCTGAAGTACGCAACGTTTATGATAAACGATTTTTAAAGAAATAATTTTTTGCCTAAAAAATATTTTTTTTGTAATTTGTTAATTATAATGGAAACAAGAAATATTTTTTAGGCGAAAAATTATAGAATTTTTCATTTTAAAAAATTATTTCTTTAAAAATTGTTTATCATAAATGTTGTGTACTTCAGCTACGTAAATTAATTACATATAATAATAGAAAGTAAAAAGAAAACCTGTAATAAAAGTTTTGAGATGAGCGTGCTCCAGAGCTTTCCACACTTGATCGTCGGAATAAACGCCAAATGGATCAAGATTTGTTCTTAAATTGCCGGAAAATAGCACCGGATCCTGAGGAATGATAGTCAGTCTGGATCTAAGTGTATGTAATCCAAGTGACGAAATATCAATATTATCGATGAATATTTTTCCATCGGCTGCCTCGATTATTCGAAATAATGCGAGTGTCAATGATGATTTACCAGCACCAGTACGTCCGACAATACCAATTTTTTCACCACCATTCACAGAAAAACTAATTCCCTGTAGCACCAAATCAAGTCCTTTCCTATAGCGTACTTTAAAATCACGAAATTCAACGCCACCAACTGTTGGCCATTCTTTTGGCGGTTCACGTTCAGCAATTTCCCATGCAGCCTCTTGTGGTGTTTCACCATATTCCTTTATTCTCTCAACAGCCACAATATTTGTCTCAACGTCAGAAGTCATACGCACCAGCCAATTTAATGTCTGAGTTATCTAAAAGAAAAAGAAAATTACAATTTATAATTACATTTTTTGTCTCTATTATTTTATTATTTATTTACTAAATATAGGGTGGGGGGTCCATGCTGTTTCAACTATATTATCGATTTTGATATTTTTTATTTTGCTAAATTTTTTTTTCAATTTTTTTTTTGTATTCTTTAAAAAAGAGTTTCATGATTTTTTCGGATTTTTTTTTTATCAAAATATTTACGAGATATTAATCTTTTAAAATTTCAGATTTATAAGAATTTTTTTTTTAATTCTCTCATAACTTTTTTAAAATTGTATCAATTTTGAAAGTTTTGTTTTTTTTATTGTGTTTTTTAAGTTAAAATTTTCGAAAATTTGTTGCAAAAAATGCCGGAAAAATAATTTACTAAATTTTTTGTAATTTAAAGATTAAAATCTTATTTTAAAAACTGTTTGTATCTTTCGATTTTTTCTTTAAATTTTCGCAAAAAAACTCATTTTTCTTTTATAAAAATTTTGAACAAGGTCTAGTAGTGGCGAAATGATTCTTTTAACATTTTTTTTAATTTTTTATAATTTTCGAAATTTACAATTTTTTTTACAAATACCTACGATTTTTTTTGTTGTGAAAATTCCCGAAAATTTGATTTTTATGGTAAAAACCATTTTAAAAAAGTCACAAAAATGTATGTTTTTTTATGGTAAAATATGCAAAATTTGGAAAAATATTATAGAATACAAAAAAAAAGGATTTCAATGCGATCTACAACTTTTGTCTAATTTATTTTCTTAAAATTTTGCATATGAAAAAAAAACGAAGGATACAAACAATATTCAAAATGAGATTTTAATTTATAAATTGCAAAAAAAATTATTAAATTATTATTATTTAAATTTTTTAACCATTTTTTGCATCAAATTTTCAAAAATTTCATTAAATCACAATTTCAAAAAAAAAAAAAAAAAAAAAATACAATTTTTTAAATTAATGCATTTTTAAGAAAGTTATTCGAGCATTCAAAAAAATCTTTAAAAGTCTGATATTTTTAAAAATTCAAATCTCGTGAAAGGCTTGATAAAAAAAATTTGAAAAAAATCTTGAAACTCTTTTTCGAAAAGTACAAATGGATACAAAAATTTTATTAAAATTAAAAATGTCAAAGTCAACGATATGTTGAAATAGCGTTGACCCCTCCGCATAAACATTCAGCCAAATTACATTCACTTTAAGAGAATTTTCTTTAGAATTCTAATTTAAAAATGTGAATTTCAATCTCATGTGAAATAATTATTATTTACAGAGTATTTAATAATATTTAATAAGAATAATTTTGTATTTCTTATTTATTTATTTATTTAATAATTAGTAAATACTTTGTGTTGTCATTTCACGAAATTCAAAAAGCCGTACACGATGCAGACTTTGCACAATAATTTTGTGAATAGAATTTGGTCGAATAAATAGGACCAATTCATTGAAACGCATGAATAAATCCTAAAAATTCATTAGTTATATAATTTTCATTTAAAAGAATTTCGATAGCATTTCCTTTAGTAAAAATTTTCATTTCTTTATAATTAGCATTTTGAGAGAATTTCCATGTAAATGAATTCTCATATTACAGAATTCCAATTTAACAATATTTTTTTTTAATAAAAAATGTTCTAGTACAGTAAATTTTTATTTCATAGAATTTTGATCTAATATAATAATTTCTACTTAACCCAATTTTCACTTAACAAAATTATTATTTAACAAATTTTCAACTAATGAAAATTTTTATGACAGAATTTCCATTCGGTGAAATGAAAATCGTGACGTTTAAAAATTCAGTCGAGTTGAAATACTGTTAAATGAGAATTCAATGAATATTTATAGTTAATGTAGAATTCTTTTATAAATAAAAATTCAGTTAAAAAGAAATTCTTAATATCAAAATTTGTTTAAATAAAAATTCTGTTAGATTCTAGTTCAAAGAAATGAAAATTCGTCTAAAATAAATATAAATTCTTTCGATTGAAATTCTATGTGATGCAAATTTTAAACAGTAAATTTTTGGGGTTTATTTATTCGTCCCAATTATTTTTTGTTTCAGTAAATAATAATAATAATTAACGATACGTACGTGAAATAATAGATATTTTTAACAAAGTAACATTTTACCATTTATTCGGCCCTTAGTTTCATAGTGCTTTTTTTTAAAGGGGGGGTGCTTAAATTTTCCCGAATTTATTATTAATTTTTCTTTTATTTACATTTTATTTTTGTTGAAAAATTCGAGAAAATTTATTTATTTTTTTTTTACTGTGCAGAGTCGATTAATTTAGTTCACACATTATTATATTAGCAAAACAAAATCTCGAACGTCAAACTGTTAATATATGACAAAAACTTTCTATTAAATTTCATTAACTGAAAGAAATTGTTTTTTACACAAATACATAATTTATATTTAATAACAGATTAAAAGATTATTTATTTAGCACAAATGCCCGCAGTTTATTTTACGATGGAAAAAATATCAAAAATCTTATTTTTGTGTTTTTCTTTTTAAATTTAGAAAAATACATACTTTAAACTTTAGAACAGAATTCATTTCATAAATTGATTTTAACATTAAAAAAAAAATTTGAAATCTAAGAGTTTCGATTATAGTAAAAATAATAATTTGTTCTATTAAATTTATAAAAGTCAATTTGTATTCCGTAACTTAATAAAGAAAATTAATTTCCTCCAGTTGAAGTTTTTTCACATCCATGCGTTAAAGTTTTATTTCTAAATATCAAAAAAAACCTAATTTCAATAAAAAAAGCAATTTTCAAACAAACATTATTTTTTGTACCTTGTCGCAGTTTTGATAAAGACGTTGGAATTCTCTAACTGTGACGAAACGTTCACTTCCCAACTATGAACCAAAACATCACGTGCCAAAGTTTCATACTCATTTTCTTCTCATCGTCTTCACACAATTCTTTGTTATAAAACAAAACTTTAACGCATGATGTTTCAGCTTTTTTTTTTACTCATGTTAATTGTCTTTCACATTCCTTATAATAAATTAATTATATTTTTGAAAAAAAAACTTATTTGTAATTAGAAAAAAAAAATTTTTTTTTTTAAATAATGATTAAAAAATTATATTGAATTTAATTTGCAAATTTTCCAAAAAGAAGGTAAGAAAATATACATAGAATTAATTCTTACTTGTAAGGCATAACTGAGCGATAAACCAGCAATTCCTGCTTCGAGATGTTTCTCTCTTCCTAAGACGCAAAAGAGTGCAGCGAAAAATATAATTAAGTTGCCAACCATCTCTAATCTTATAGCTAACCACCTAAAAAAAACAATGAATACAAGTTTTTAAAAAATTTTAATTTTTGCAAATTTTAAATAAACATTAAGGGGAGCTACCAGTAAAATTAAAAATTTTTTAAATTATTATTTATTTTTTGATTTTATTAAGTGTATAAAATGATGCTACGTCATGAAAATTTAGAAAAAAATTTATTAATTAACAAATTTTATAATAGAACTTAAAATTCAGGAAAGATAGAAATTTGAATTTATTTCATAATTTTTAATATTCTTCATCGACATTTTTTTATACTGTTTTTTTTATCATTCTGAACAATTAATCGTATAGTTTTTAAAAAAATGTAAATTTTTCAAAAAAAAAAAAAAAATTTCTAAAAAAAATTGTGTAAAAAATGTAAAACAGTGAAAAATTATTTTTCTTCATTTTCCCATAATGGAAATATAATTCTACTTCTGGTTTCGAAAAAAGGTCAAAATGGTCAAAAATGATTCTAAATTTTGTTAATGTTAAAACATTTTTAAATCCTAAATAATGTCAAGAAAAAAAATTGTTGCCTCATAAAAACGAAAATTTCAGTGATTCCTTCCCTTAAATAAATAAAAAATAAATTTGTAAATATATATAGTAATAAAATAAAATTACCTATTGGCAATAATACTTGGGAAATAGCACACTTGATTGAAATCAACTCTCATTTCAGATTCCTTAATAAATCTATCTTGTACACCATAAGCTCTAATTGTCTGTGCACCTGAAAGTATAAAAAATAATTTTGTAATTAAAATAATATAATTATTAATTGCGTTTAAAGAAAAATCTCTTTTTCAAATGTCTAAATTTTTTTTATAATTTTGAAACCTACCGGTAACAGATTCACCAAAATGAGAATATATCGGTGACCTGGAAACAGATTCTAAACGTTTCAACTGACGCGACGTAGAAACGTAAAAACGTTGAACGAAGTAATAAATTAATCCCATTGGAAATATGACACTAATAAATTCAGGTGTACTGAAGCTGATCACCACTAAAGTGGCAACAACCTAAAAAATAATCAAATAAAATATTAAAAATCTAAAACACATAAGAAAATTAATTATTTATCTAGAACAAAAATAAAGCTCGCTAATATTGCAAAAGTTAATTTGAAAATTGTTATATTACATCTGTGTAAATTAAATTAAATTTCGATAATTATTAAATTCTACCACTTTTTATTATTATTAATTTATAATTACAGATAATAATTAAAATAATAATAATAATAATTAGTACAATTATATTAAAAATATATCAACTTTTGCAATTAAATTATAGACATTTTTTCTTGTTACATTTGTACAAGAATATTATTAACACTGCAAGAGACATATTAACAAAAAATAAATAATATAAATGAACAAAAAACAAATAAAACATTAAGCAAAGCAATATTATAAATATAACCCAATAACCACAAGTTATTTTTAACTTGATTATACACAAACACATTTTTAGAAAAAAGTTTCATTCTTTAATATATATAGAATAAATTCAAAATACGTTTTGAACCATAAAATTAAATTTTGAAACTTTTTTTTCAAAACTAAAATAATACACAACTAAAACACGAAAATAACACAAAATCCTAAACTAAAACATTAAATCAAGCAAAAATAATAACAATTATCATGCTAAGCAATTTGAGGAATTTTTTTTTCTCTTATAACAAAAGCGGAAATTACAAAACTTCCAAAGCTTTTTTTTTCTTTTTTTTTTTTTGACAAAAAAACAAAACTGACAATATTTGTATTGGCCCACCAACATGTACGTTAAAAAATGTTATTTAAATAGATTTCTAATAAGAAAACACATAATAATAATTAAAAAAAAAAGAATTTGTCTTGTGTTGATTAAATTGAGAATTAAAATCAGGACACAATTATACAATCACCAAATTCTCTACGAATTTATAGTATGTATATCGTAATACAATAGATATTTTTTTGAGAGAGAGAGAAAGAGAGAGAGAGAGAGTGAGAGGAGTCCTTTTTAAAATACTTTTTCGTCATCTGAACCAACCGTCGCTTCAATTAGTACTATATAATAAAACAGAAGTCATTTTATAATCAGTAACATTAGAATCACACCCAATTTTATTGTTTTTTTTTATTATCTACTTTCCCTGCCGCACTTTGAAAGTTTATAAAAAGAAATTATTAATTTTTTATAAAATTCTAACATCACTACGGCAACAATATGTGGACAATATTATATATATATATATATATATATATGTGGACTCCTTGCACTAAATTTGGAAAATTTTAAGACATTTTAAGGTGCAAAAATTGCGGAGTTAGAGAACTTCAAAGTTCAGAATGACAAAAACCTCATTTTGAGAAATATGAAATTAAAGGACGTCCACATATAATAATATAAAGGAAATAACTAATATATAGAGTAACGTAAAATAATATTACACTAAATGAAATAAGGAAAACGACGAAATCAAATTGCCACTGTTTATTAATTTTTTTGTATCTTCCCCAAAAAAAAAACTAAATACACATTTAGACATAGTTTTATTTAACAAAAATTTTCATCTACAAACTTATCATTTACTGTAAATTTTTAAATTTTAATTTAACTATAATTCTTTTACATGAAGACTACAGTGAAATGAAAAATTAAGGCAAAAAAAATTCAATAAAATAAAAAATTCAGTCATATGGAAATGGGACGCATATTCTAAAAAGCATTATAGTTAGAAATTTCATTTTATGGAATTTAATTTGTCATAATTTGTTTTGAGCCGAATTTTTATTTCTTTGAATTAGTATTTTGCAGAATTTTCATCAAAACGATTTTCTATATTACACAATTTTTATATAACCAAAAATTCATTTCACAGAATTTTTATTTGTTCGAATTTTTTATTTGTTTATTTTCATTTTATTCTTTCAGATGAATTTTTCATTTGTTCGAATTATTATTTTTAAAATATAATTTCCATATAACCGATTTTTCATGCTACAGAATTTTTACTTTGGTTGCCATTTGCAATTTCGGACAAATAAAAATTACCTCAATTAGAAATTTTGTTAAATGATTTTTCAGTTAAATAAAAATTCTATAGTATGAAAAATCGATTATATGGAAATTATATGAAATAATAATTCAAACAAATGAAAATTCATCTGAAAAAAAAATTCTACCCAATAAAAATCCTTTAAAATGACTATTATGCATTAAATGAAAATTTTGACAAATAAAAATTCTGTGAAGTGAATTTTCGGTTTTATAAAAATTCTGTAATATAGAAAATAGTTTTAATGAAAATTCTGCAAAAAAACTAATTCGAAAAAAAGTAAAAATTTGGCTCAAAAATAATTATGACAAATGAAATTCTATGAAATGAAAATTTTAACTAATGATTTTTAGAACATAATCATGCGTCTCATGGAAATTTGGGTAACTAAAAATTTTGTTAAATAGAAATTCATTGAAATCGAAATTCAACTAAATAGAAAATCGGTCAAATGGAAATTTGGAAAAAAATAAATTCTATTAACTGAAAATTAGAAATAGAAATTCAATAGTTGAAAGGAATTTTGTTTAAAAATGTAAATACAAGAAAATTAAAATTCAAGTAAATCAAAAAATGTTCATAAAAATTAAATAAAAATTTAATCAAATAGAACAAAAATTCTTTTACATTAAAATAATGTCGAATTTCAAATTCGAGAAATAAGAAATTTGGAGGTAAATAAAAATTCTGCTAATATGTAAATTCAAATATAAAATATAAATTTGCGAAAATTGTAATTTTATCCAATAAAAATTTGATCAAATGAAAATTATAAATATTTATTAAATGAAAATCCGACAAAATAGAAAATTGGAATAAATAGAAATTCTGGTAAATAAAAATTCGGTTAAATGAAAATTTATTCCCACGGAAATAGAAATTCGGGTAAATAAAAATTTAATTGAATCTCGTATTAAAATGAAAATTTGTTCAAATAGAAATTCGCAATAAATGCGATTTTATCAAGTATGGAAATTAGGTAAAATAAGATTTTGGATAATATTCGGGATAATATATGGAAATTTGCTTAAATGGAAAAAAAAACTAAGAAAAAAATTCATTAAAGCAACAAATCGATTACATGCATATTTGTCAAATATAAATTTAGACACATAGTGTTTTTTTTTTAAATTTTCATGCGGTCCCATTAATTAAATTAAATAAAACATATTAGTACAAATGTGTTAATTAACAGAAATTAAAAATAATTATATTAAATAATAACATAAAGAAAAATAATTTTTTTTTAAAATTATAAATAATAAAAAAAATGTGTATTGTTTTTAAATTTTCAAAAAATGAAATGAAAAATTATTGATTTGTGGCAATTTGATAAATCGTCAGTGAGCAAGCAAAGTAGATTTTTGTTTTTCGGAGGTGCATTTCTACAAAATCCGCATTATCATCATCATCATTATTATCATCGCCATCATCATAATTATCATCATCATCCGTGAGAGGGAGGAATGTTACCTCGAAGAAACAATAGATGGTATCAGAAATTTGTTGGGGAAGCGAAGTGTCCAGTACATCGACGTCCTTTGCAAATCTGGAGATGATACGACCTGTAGGAGTCGTATCAAAGAACGTCAAAGGAACTCGCATCACTCCATGCAGCATCACAAGGTGCATCTGACGAGCAGCTAGCCAGCAACCCAGCTGTGGTGCCAAATCACAGCAAAAGCTCGAAATTGCTACAACATCGCCCGATATTATCAATCTATTTTTTTTCGAAAAAAAAAAAATTACAAAAATTTTTCTTTTTTTTTTTTTGTTTTGTTTTGTTTCCTTTTGATCAGCCACGTGCAAATTGTTAAAACTGAATATAGACCTATATATAAAGGTACATAAATTTAATAGTCATTCATTGTTTGAAAAGATTTTTTAATTTTAGAAATGAAACTAGATCTCAGAAAAAGGCGAAATTCATTTTTTTTTTGTTTTTTTTAGAAATGTTATACATGTTGCCAAATATTAAAAAGTCAAAAATACATGTTTAGAAACCATTTTTCTTTTTTTTAAAGACACGTGATAGAAAGTCATCATGTATTTTGATTTTCCAAAATTTTCTCATTTCATGTAATTTCTCACCAAATAATTCTCACAAATAAAATATACAAAAAAATAATTTTTTTTTTTTTTCTATAATTTTTGGAAAATGATAACAAATTCATATATTATTTCTATCATATGTAAAGAAAATAATTTCTAAGATTGAAAAAAAATTATAAAATCAGATAATTAGAAAAAAGGATCGTTTTTTATAATAACCAATTTTTTTTTTCAATAATAGAAAAAGAAGGGAATGATCATGCTACTCATGAGCTAAAAAATGCGAAGTGGAAATTATTTGCTATTTTTAAACTATAAATAAGATGATTCCGAAAGATAATGAAAATATCTACTAATATAAAGATGTGAGGTAGGTAATAATAGTAATTATTAGAAAGTTGTGCAAGAGAAATAGAGAGAGAGAGAGAGGGGGAGAAAAAGAGAGCATTTCCAAAGCGCAGGCAAAACTACAGCTCAAATTAAATGATATTTAATTAGTATAATTGTGTCCTTGATTAATTCTAATAAAATTCCACTATCCTGACGATACCGATACGACCTTAAAAAAAAAATCGAGTAGAAATCATTCCACTTAAAAATTTCATTCAATTTCCTCTTTTTTCTTTTTTTTTTTTTGTTAGACAAGTCAACAAACCTAAGACAATGTAATCCTGATATATTCCAATAATATGCATTCGACAATCTCCAATTATATAATTATAGGGATGCAGATTTTTTTTTTACAGTATAAATATCCAAATTTTTCGAGAATAACTTAAAAAATAATTTTTAATTAAAGAGCAACCAAAAAAACTAATAATAATAAAAAAAAAACAATTTTTTTTTTTTGAAAACATTTCTCAGCTTACCCTAAAAAAACAAGCCACCCATTGAGAAAATGTCAAGGGAAGTCTTGTATCT